TTTTTTTACCTAACACAATGGTTAATGGTACCAAAACATACTTTATAAAGTTTTTATACTGAGAACTGTAATCTGCTTAAAGATTCTGGTGGCAGAAACAAAGAGTGTGAAGGCATTTGCCTGAGGTGGTGATTTAAAATACCCCATCCTTATTGATTGGCAGCATTACTATATATAATAAATTACATTACTTTATACACTGATTTTATTGGTATTTCCCCCACAGAATAAATTCCTATCTTGATTAGTACCATCCCCATGATTCCCCGTGCATTTTTGTCCCTATATAAAGTAAGATTTATTTTCTGTCTTGTTTTGTCCTGGGGATGGAGTTTATCTCTATGGCACTTTTCACTGGAGTTCATGTTTATGGCAAGAGCTTCCAGTTAGAAGTCATCAACTAGTACTCAAAAGCAATACAGTATAAGCTTTATACAAGCACATATACCCAATCATGCTTAATGAAATGGCTGCTGGTGATGGTCTCTTCTTCTAACCACTGCTGTTGCTGCCACAGCTGCTTCCTCATCTTCTTACTACAGCCATGTCTCAGCCAGCTATGTGAATAATGCCTAGCCCGAAGGGTTCATGGTGTCAGGTATTATTCACTTGGGTATCTAAGAGGTGTCTGCCTTTATTGAGGCAGGAAGGTGGCAAAGGCAAGAAGAATGTAAGTGTTGCATTCTTTTACCGTCTTTTTATCATGAGTGGTACATTGTGATGGGGAGGGGCTTCTCTTTCTTTTTCAAGCAGCATAAGGGCTTGCATCAGTACCATTTTGCAGGGGAGGGGGCAAAGTGTAGTCTTTATAATTAAAACAATTGTAAATTGCCCAAACTGTTTTAAGAACTATGGTATATAAGCAGCACACTTTACTTTTTTTTTTTGCTTTAATTGTTTGTCATTCTAGGTCTTAAGGATATACAGTATGTATCTTCTTGCTCCTTTTTTAAAAGGCTAATTTAGTCTTGGGCTTCTAACTCAGCTCTCCTTTTGCCTTCTCCAAATCCAGGGTTGGGTGAACTGTATCCAAGGATATTGAAGGAACTGGCTGAAGAGTTCGCAGAACCACTATCATTTTATTGAAATCATGGAGGAGGGGTGAAATGCCAGATGGTTGGAGGAGGGCTAACATTGTCCCTATCTTCTAAAAAGAAGGAATCAGGGTACTATATGTTAGCCTGACATGAATCCCGGGGAAAATTCAGTAGCAGATTAAAAAACAATCACTCTGCAAGCACATTAAAAACAATGCAGTAACAACTAGATGCCAATATGGATTTGTCAAGAACAAATCCTATCAGACTAATCTTATCTAATTTTTTTCCTCAGATAATGTCCCTGGGAGTGCTGTAATATATCTTGACATCCGCAAAGCCTTTGACAAAGTGCTTCATGATATTCTGATAAGCAAGCTAACTAGGTGTGTACTGGATAGAACAACTGTCAGGTGGACTCACAGTTGGTTACAGAATCATACTCAGAGAGTGCTTATCAACGGCTCTTTCTCAAACTGAATGGAGGTAACCAACGGGATATCCCAAGGCTCAGTCCTGGGCTCTGTGCTCTTCAACATTTTTATTAATGACTTTGATGAGGGCGTGCAGGGGATACTTATCAAATTTGTGGATGACACAAAATTGAGTGGAATAGCAAATACCTTGGAAGACAGGAAGAAAATTCAAAAAGGTATTGATAGGCTTGAGCACTGGGCTGAAAACAACAGAATTAATTTAACGTGGATAAGTGCAAAGTTCTCCACCTAAGGCGGGGGCGGCAGCAAATGTACAGTTATAAGATGAGGGATACTTGGCTCAGTAATACTTAGAGTGAGAAGGATCTTGGAATTGTTGTAGATCACAAGCTAAATATGAACCAACAGTGCAACGTGGCTTCAAAAGAGGCAAGTGTGATTTTCGGCTGCATTAACAGAAGTATTGTCTCAAAATCCTGTAAGGAACTAGATCTGCTCTACTCAACACTGGTTACACCTGATTTAGAGTATTGTACTGTGTCCAGTTCTGGACAGCACCCTTTAAAAAGAATGCCAACAAACTAGAGCAAGTTCAGACGAGGGCAGGAACTGGAAACCAAGTCCTGTGAGGAAAAACTGACAAAACTTGGGAAAAGAAGAGTGAGGGGAGATATGATAACACTTTTCAAATACTTGAAAGGTAGTCATACAGAGGAGGAGCAGGATCTGTTCTTGATCATCCCAGAGTATAGGATACATAATAATGGGCTTAAGCTACTGAAAGTCAGACTTAGGTTGACTATGGAAAAACTTCTTTACTGTTAAAGCAGTATGACAATGGAACCAATTACCTCTGGTGGTGGTGAGTGCTCCAATGCTAGAGAAAATCAAGCATCTCTCCAATGCAATCAAGAGAAAATTGGAGGACCATCTGTCAGATCTGCTTTGATTTGGATTCCTACATTCAGAAGGGGGGTTGGATGTGATGGCCTTGTAAGAAGTCCCTTCCAACTCAATTATTCTTTGATTCTATGACTAAGTTGAATTCAGGAAGGAAGTCTTCAGACGGCACATAATTTAATTGTAGAATTTGCTACCACAGGGCATGGTGTTGACTGCTGGTTTGGATGGCTTTAAAGGGATCACATTCAACTATTCTATGATTCCAGTTTCAGTTCCTTCTTCAGGCAGGTGACTTATTCTTTCATTTCTTTAAAATACTTGCCATACTGAATCTTAAGCAATTTGGTATCTTGTTCTCCATTTAGATGGCTTATCGTGGTCTTGGACTTAAATGAATTTTGTATTCAGTTCTTCTACTTCTTTCTCAAAAGTTCCATTCAGCTGTTAACATCTGAAACCACGGAAACATTGACTGGGCAGTGGAGGCAGGGGCCACTATGTCTCTGCACCACCTGGAGGTCTCTTGGAATGTTTTGCTTCAGATCTTTGCAGCATGTGATCAGCTGAAGGGCTGCTTCATCAGGGTTCCTGATCACAGGAGCTCGGCATGCACACTGAACTGAATGCAGTTAAAGACTCGGCTTCAGACCTTTGCACTAATTATGTAAGGTTCTCAAAGACTTTCAGGTTGAGTGCTATATAAATAACTTCTGTGTTGGCCCCAACATGTCTGAGCCTGTCCACACTTAGGCGCCTGAAAGCCAGAGACTTCTGGAGGTTGCTTTCCCTCCAGCTCACATCCTATCACTCTCGGGACCAGCAAACCTAGTAAATCACTTCCTATAGAGTTAAACAGCATCCCAGTATGATAGAACATTGAACTCAATAGCCTACCAAAGATTCAAGACTGGATTTAGGACCAACTCTCTTCCCCATGCATTCAGAATTAACATACGAAGCATGGAGAAGATTTTCTTAGATCGAAAGGACAGGGACAAGGAAGATTAATAAAAATCGTGGTGGTGGGAGCAAACTACAAACTAAACCTAGGAGAGTTTGGGAATGCAACACACCAAAGGAGTAATTAATAAAGCTAACTAGCCGGCATTATTAACTTATACGTATAGGATCATTTCAGCAAAAGTGGATAGATCAGGGGCTTATATACTCTGCACTTATCTCCAATATATGGATGAGCAAACATCCAAAGACATGAGGTCCAGTTTTTCCTAGCACTGGTATACTTACTTTTATAGTTTAACTCTTCTACAACAGTAATGACAGCTGCCAGCCAGTCCAAATCCACTTTCCTCAGAAGAGATCCTTACAAGACACAGAAGACAGAGATGTGTTTGTAGGCACTTTCCTTTTCTTGTACATGTAACCAAAATTTCTTCCTCACATAGTTTCAGACCGACTGAAATTGTGGACTGGTATTTTCTGAAATGAAAAGATATGTCCCTTCTAGCTCTCACAATGCTGAATTTAGTACTTACCCAAAGATGCCATTTCTCTGTTTTTTATGTTCATATCCTTGGCTGTTGTTTCTAAATGACACTCTGGTTTCTGACTTTTGATTGATTCTCACAGTATGTTCTGATAAGCTCAGCTGAGGCTGTTGTAGGTGTGTTCCTTCATAAAGGAATGTTAAGGAATTTGGTCCAAGAGAAGCCTCAGCAGTGGCATATTCTGTTGGCTCCTCATGTCCACTTCCGCTACCTATTAGTCCATAAGTGGCTCTGGAACCTTTCCCAACCCTCTCCTGCCCCTCAGCTTTGAGACATCAGAAGGACTTGCCCCCTGCTGCCAGGTTTTGACCCTGACATCTCCAGGAAAGGAGTGCTGCTGAACTGACAATCCTATAAGAGATGGTTAATCTACACCACTGTGGCCAGGAAGCAAACCACATGGAAGTTGTTGGACAGAAACAAGGGTCGGTCCAGTGAAACTTTAAAAACCAGGACTTTATTTGTTGAGGCAGCCACAGGACATCAGAGCTTTGTTGCCTCTGCTTGTCCTAATCCCTCCTGTGATAAAAGACAATGGCGTTCTTGCACTGAATGTATGTTAATTCTCTGCAAAGCTGCATCATATCCTATCCTCTTTTTCTAAAGGATTTTGGTGGGGTACTGATGGCCACTCTAGCATGTGGTCCAGAGAAATTTTCTGCTGCCCAAACTATGATTGTAGGAGGTTTCCACAGAGCCCTCTAAGAAGTCGCAGAGACTCAACCAGCCAATCACATATCTTCCCTCCATGTCTTTCTTTTGAAACAGCAAGTGGAACAGATTTGGCCCTCCAGATGGTGTTTCACTGCAATGCCCACCATTTGCTGGGTTGACTAAGTTTGATGGGAGCTGTAGCCTAACAACAGTCCAGTCTGTGCAGCCCTCTCCCCCCATGACATCATACTTGGCAAACAATGCTGTTAAGGTTACAGGTGCCTCCTGGAATCTAATCATTTCCAACAACTATCAGAGGCACAAGGAACAATTGTTATAGCTCTATTGCTTTGATTAGGTAGTTACAGTAGTTGATATGGAGTTAATTGTTTTCCTAACATTTATCTATAAACATTTTAGCTTAGATAGCATGTTAAGCTGTGATGTACAGAGAGAGTGTGTGCCGTCCTCAGCAGGGAAAGGACAGGAGGAGACATCCGGATGTGTAGAGGGAGAACTCTCATGGATAGAGGAAGATGAAGTGAAGAGTGATCGGATGTGTAGAGGGAGAACTCATATGGATAGAGGAAGATGAAGTGAAGAGTGAGAGGGCAATAGAGGTGTGTCTGGCAGAAGATAAAGAGGGAGATAAAGGGGAGGAACAAGATCTGATACTATGGGAGGAGGTTATAAAAGGGGATGAAGAAGTGCGGGAATTTAGGGTGGAAGTAGACCTGAAAGAGTGAAGTAGGGGAGATAGCGCAGTACAGACAGATAGTGTGGATGAGCAGGCTAATAAGGTTTGTGACCTGCTGAAAGAATTCCCAAACTTTGAAACAGGAGAGGGTTACTTCCAGACCCCTCCTCCCCTGGGGTGAGAGAAAAGTAGTGAACCCCTTAGAATGGACGGTCGTGGTCTACCCCCGCAACCAAGGTGGAGGGAGGAAAGTGATCAGACCCAGTTCCATCTGCAACCACCCTTGGAGGGGGATTGGGCGAGACACCCATGTTGTGGAACAGTGTGCGTGGTGAGGAGTACCCCAATGCAGCTGATGACCAATCATGAATGTATTGGTCCAGCCCCAATGTGAGAGATGGACTGACCACGAACGTTTTGGTCCAGCCCCAATGTGAGAGATGGACTATGTACCCCTGGACCAAAGATATTGAGTTATGGAACAATTCCTGAGTTAAGTAGTTCTGACCCATTTGATCTTGTTAGTAAAGAAGCAGAAGAGAATAAAATTAAAGTTGTTGAATAGTTCAAATCGCCTCTCATTCCCACCAAAATGAAGGAGCCGTCACCAATTCAAGAAGAACCCAATCAAATAAGCATAAGGATATATCTGGAGTGGAACTTTTAAAAGCTACTTTTCAGGACTGCAACTCAATGGTCAACAAACAAATACATCCATGGGGAATTTCTGGTCCCTAAAAAATAGTTACAAGTTCTGATCGGGGGGGGGAGAATGGCAAAAATTTGGGGAGGTTGGTCACCTTGTAAAGAGCTACCTGCCCCTTTATAAGTTACATACATTTGCTTGTCAAGGAGAAAAGGAAGAAAGTGTGGTCTTCTAAACTGTCCTGCGTGAATGTTGCTCCTACAGTTTCTTTCACCCCAGATATCCACATTCTTTCTTCTCAATCAACCATTTTACCATCAGGACTAAATAAAAAAATGTGGACCTATGATCAAGCCTAGCAGCACTTGCATCTGAAATTATTTAACAGAAAATATCTTAGGAGAACAGCTTTTCGTTTTAAATTAAGAAGCAGCACTTGACATCTGAAATTATTTAACAGAAAATATCTCAGGAGAACAGCTTTTCGTTTTAAATTAAGAGTTCAGAATTGATCATAGTCAGGAGACATAGTTGTGTACCATTCTTGATAGCATGTCTCCTGATATTGTTATATAAAATCATCATCATCATCATCATCATCATCATCATCATCATCATCATCATCATCATCATCATCATCATCATCATCATTACCACATCCCAAAACATCAAAACAGCCTGGAAGTTGTTTCAAAATGTAATTCCATGTCTTCCAAATCAATATGAACACTATGCAAATATGATTAGCTTGTTGAGGCAGGCTAAGCAGGTACAACCTTCTCACCTTGGCTGTAGTTGTAAAGGAAGAGAAGTCCCACTGGAGTAAGTGAGGCTAACCTTGTGTAGATCTGCTTCAGAACAGGTTGACCAGATTGGTTGCTGCTGTAGCCCTTGTTCCTGATTTGGAAGCAATCACTTCTCAGATCTCATCATTCATTCAGGAATTTTTAGTGCAGCTCACCTATTAATCTCTATGGAGAAGGTTTCCATAAAGGTTATTCTGTTTCTTTTCAGGTTCTTGTGACAATCCATGTCTTGAGATTATTTTTTACAAGCTCAACTAAAACAAACAGCAATTGCACATCTCAATAAATGTGGCCTTCTTTTCTGTGCAGGTCTAGAACATTTTTCTCCCATTTGGGAGAGATGAGGTCAGGGGCTGTCTTGGCTTAAGCAACAACACTCCTACACCTTTTCCCTTTATCCTTACAGTTTCTTATAGCCCAGGTGAGACAGAACAATAAGCCTAAATAGGTGCTCCCTTTCACAAGTATAGTTTGTAGTGTGGTTATGGCCTGAGAGCACAAACCAAGGAGGAACAGGTAGGTGTCTTCTACAGCAGTGGTCCCCAACCTTGGGCCTCCAGATGTTCCTGGACTACAACTCCCAGAAGCCTTCACCACCACCTCTGCTGGCCAGGATTTCTGGGAGTTGAAGTCCAAGAACATCTGGAGGCCCAAGGTTGGGGACCACTGTTCTAGAGCACTGGTTCCAATCTTTGGGTCTCCAGATGGTTTTGGACATTCTGGCCAGCATAGCTGGTGGTGGAGGCTTCTAGGAGTTTTAGCTCAAGAACATCTGGGGACCCAAGGTTGGGGACCACTGTTCTAGAGGACTGCATGCTTGCCAGGGGCATACCCAGCCTTGCTTCTGTGGATTACTTCAACTTGCGTTAATGTAAACTTATGTAAATCTACAGAAAGACAGAATATATTATGCCCAGAATCTGACATCCTGTTATTTTCCATCTGCAAACGTCTGCGGGTCACAGCTGCAGTGACCCACTGCCCTTCTTTGCCAGATGCTAACATCTGTCTTCCAGGCCAGCAGCACCCGTCCTCTGTGGCTGAGGATGAACATTTACTTCTGGAGGAGACTTCAGCCTCTATGCCAGATCAAATCCCACCTGATGAGCAAGTGAGCAAGACCAGGAAAATGCATTCATCAGGGAGAAAGCCCTTCTATGCCTGAGGCAGGAGGCTCTTCTAGAGAGCATTACTTTTTGTACAATCAACATATTTTAAAAACATGGTTGAATGCTCAATCTTAGAAAAAAGAATAACCTTCCCAAAAAATTGTCCACATCCCAATGTGTGCTCTTGTACTGCCACTATTGTCTGCAAAAATCACATCATTAGCTTTCCACAAAATCAGATCATATGTTATTATGAAGGACAAGGGCACCAACCACCAACATATGGCAGACGTCGAAAAGCGTCAGGTACACATAGGTGTTGCTTTTGAACAACTCTTCTCTGTTGGTTTTCTTACCACAACCATCCATGAGAGGTCACTCTTCTCCACAAATTGTAGCTTTGACAGCAAGAGAGGTGGCATCTTTCTTCAGTTGATGATCTATGTACAGTGTTTGTTCTTTAATTCAAACTCTTTCCTGGGCAGGCTATGCACAAAAAAATGGCAAAACCCCACAGGGATGTCTCTTAAAGAGGAAATGGAGGAGAACCTAGAAGCTGGCCTTGAGCCTCTTGAGGAAAGGCAGGATATACAGTACATGTAGTGAAGAGGCTGTAAATAGATAGATACAAGACCTGCGAATAGATTCATTTTGGCCTTGAGGCCTCTTGAGGAAAGGCAGGATATACATGTAGTGAAGAGGCTGTGAATAGATACAAGACCTGCGAATAGATTCATTAAATGCATTACTGTATTTTAAAGTTACAGAGATGGGGCCACTGTGTTGGAGTGGCATGCACAATGCATATAAATTCTGCTAACATACTACTGTGCACAGCACACACTCTCCTTGCAGGGCAGCATATCAAAATCTGCTATAAAGGTAGTCCTTGCACTCAGATCTTAACAATAAAAAAGGGAAAGAGAAGAGAGGAAAAAAAATAAACTAGATCTTAGTTACAAAGATCATCAAGTACAGTATTATTTCAGGAGATCATGAAACTTGACCTAAGCGTCATATGAAAGAGTTGCTGCATCTCCCTGAGGTGGTGTTTAGAAAGACTGGTGTCCAGGAAAAGAATCAAACCAAAAACTGAGAGTGGCTCCATCCATTTGAGCCCCATTCTTGGTCTCACCCAACCCCAACAGTGATTGTCAAAATAAAACCATGGGAGAGTTCAGACGTATCTTAAATTAGGAGCTACCATTTTTCCTTGGGTGTTCTATGGAGTTCATTTGTAGAAATGTTTTACAATATTTTGATCTGCCTTCCGAATTAAGTGTTTGTTGTGCAATTGCCTTGCCTGATTCATGTGGGGGAGAATCAGACCATGCCAGTTAGAAATCTGTAATCTTCCTACATTATCCCACAATTTATTCCATGCTTCTGTCCACTCACAGACAGACACAGATGTTAAGGAAGAACAGAAACAGCTACATATTTTCATGGCTCTTGCCATGAACTGTGAGTCTGAGAACACCCCTGCTTGTTAAAGCCTTCCTCTTACTTCCACTACGTGGAGAGAGAGAGAGAAAGCCGTACAGTGAGGTCATGGCAAGGACGAACTCTGATAGTTGAGATTATATTCTGTCTAGTCAACAAACCTCAATGTTACCTAGCTATTAATTTCTGTGTTTGTTTGTAAGATATCTGCCTTTCAGAATCCCCTTTCTGTTATCTTTGCCAATGTTTGGATATTATTGGATCTTTTAATTTTATTGTTGTAAATTGCCTTGAGCCTCCGGTTTGGTTAGGAGATCAAATCCTTGAAGAAGGAAAGAAGGAGGCAAGGGAGATAAAGGCCAGGATCCCATAGGGTCATTCTACTAATCAAAATGCTTCTGTCAGTGGAACCAGCAGGAGGCTCATCTCCTGCCAGTCTTTATTAGTTTGGGAAAAGACTGCAAGGCAACGTAAGTACACTCTCAAAAACTGCTGCAGAGGCCTGGGCAATTTTCAGGAGCAACTTCTCAGGTGGTATGGAGGGCTACAGTGACAGCACAAGAATAAATTCCTATTGTCTGCTAATATAATGTTGGATTTAGGTAAAATGATAGAGAAAGGCTGAGTATTAAGTTTAAGCAAGACACCAAATCATTTGGCATTACATTATTAAACTTAGTGTGGTTTCTGGATGACTTTGCACACCTTTTATTGCTGCTCTAGAGTCTTCTGCTTTCTATTATAAATTTGATTTATCAATTTTCCATATTTATTTATTACTTGTGCAGTTGCTTTTTAAAATCTGAATGCTGATTGTTTGTAACCAGAATTGGATGAAAAATTACACCCAAAGTTCCTCTGTCTAATTCAACCACCCGTGCAGTATATCTTATGTTTTTAGAAAGGATAAAATCCTTATACCATTATACCATGGTATAATGAAATATGGAATACAGCTATAAATGATAAATTAACTTGTAATTTAAAGGTTAAGAAAGGAGAGTTGAAAAATAATATTTTTTATGATATATGGGGCAGATTTTTGGAATATGTGGTAACAAGAGGAAAAGGGAAAACTCCAAATCAAGAATCAGTGCAGTTCTGGAGAAGAGGGCAATAATAGAAGAAGAAGAATATAGATGGAGGAAGAAGATTATTGCAAGAGGTCTCATATATGGTGGTGGGGAACACAGTTAATTTGTATTTTGGTTTATGTATTTTATGTTTATGTTATAGTTAAAAGAAAAAAAAATTAAAAGAAAAGAAAATCCTGCAGGTCAGCTGTTCAGGAGATGTTGCAAAAGGAGTGGATTCAACCCTCCCCTCCCTGTTCTTTACCACACAAGTAGTTAAAAGGATTTCAGTTCTGCAATAACAGTTCTGAACAGGAAACACCAATGGCTCGGGTGTATGCCCAGCGTGTTAGTTCAAAGCCAGTTTTTATGGATAAATAAAGACATGAGCTTCTGAAGCAACACGATCTTATATTTAATATGAATATCTGTCAAGTGATCAGAAGATATTCAAGTCTGATAAGCAATGGCTTGTTCCCAAGCCCCCACCCTGGGTGAGTCCAAAATAGTACCATCCTTTTAAAGAACTCCTTATAAAGCAGTGCTCCATATTGGAAATCCTCAACCCTCCAGATTGGCACAAAACCAAACAATGTATGTCATAGTTAAATACTTCAAGTGTCCAGGCTAGGACATTCTCTAGGGCTGAGTCATAAATGTTAAGCATTTAACAGAGGAGAAAAGATGAAATACCATGAAGAACAGAGGTGGAATGAATCAGTATGAATCAGCAGTGGCTTGAGCAAAAGACTGGTGGAGCCAAGAGGAAAAACCAGAATCTCCAGTTAAATATGGACTATTTCTGGGCTTCTAGCCCCAGCAGTAGGCAGCTGCAGTGGTCAGTCTGTATTGCATTTGGCTCTGAGCAGCTGTGGAATACTGTTATCTGTCTGTTAAGTGCAAAGTGTCCACCCTCTGTTTGGCACCTGTTATTTTTGAGCCACTCTTTATTTCTTTAAAATATTTGTTTTTACAGTGACAGGCAAGGGCCTAATTGAATACAAAACATCTATAAAGAGCAGTGCTTTCTGTGTTATGGATCACTCACATCCATAGTTATTGCCATTGTCAGATCTCTGCAGATTTTCATTCATTTCAACTATCTATCATTTTCATCCTCGGTGGCACAAAGCTACTATGGAAAAAGGCAGTAACAGGAGCCCCATCTGGCTAGGTAACCTTGTTTGCTTTGAGTGCAAACTATAAGCAATGGTACAAAGACTTTTTGAAATCTGAAACAGAGAGAAATGGCATGATGTACTTGGTGAAGCCCCACATGTGTCAGCCAAAACTGGTGTGCCAGATATTTTGTCTACTCACAGAGGTCCTAGATATCCAAGAAACCCAACTCAAAAGGAGGCTGAAAATTATTTCAGGGTGAATGTGTTCTATAGCATAATTCACTTTGTTGCTGACAAACTTTCATTTTGCTTTTCTAGTCAGGGACATTTGTGGATCTTTTGATATTTTTTGTGGCACTTCAAGCAGTTAGATGAGAATGCATTCTCACAAAAACCTAGTCATTTTCAGCTGTGATACCAAAATCACATTTGAAGTGACATTTGAAGTGAAGTACTTAAAATAATTTTTGATGTGAATTTCAAACTTTATGTTGTATCACTGGAAAAAAAATTATGATCAGATATTGAACTTGAGATTGGGCAATGTTTCTCCAAAGATCGTAATTGCATTGTGCATTTTTCTTTCATTACCAACAACTATGGCCTTTAATGAGAGGAGCTTTAGTATTCTAAAATGAATTAAGTCATACTTTTAGTCCATGCCGGTGCAAGAGTGGTTGAACGGTTTAACTATTTTGAACATCAACAGTGAAAAGGCAAAGTTGCTTGATTTTTCTTATGTTATTCATGAATTTTCCCAAAGAAAAACACGTAAAGCATTTCTAAATGTGAAGTGATGGTGATTTCTGATCTGAAATTCCCAATACAGAATGTATTTGGTGCCTCTCATGACAGTACTGTACTTTTAGTATCATCTTTGCATGGCATACATCTTGAATTCAATTGTTTGCCATTTTCCTTTTTCATAAATTGTTCTTCAGAAATAATTCATTTTGTAATTAGCATGACATAGTTAAGGAGTGTTTTATTAATATATGTCATTCCTTCAAGGATCAGATATGGGATTACAACTGTTATGGACAATGCCTGAAACTCTTACGATTAGTTTGAACTTTGTAAGAATTGGGTTAGGGACAGTTTACATAAGATGGCAATTCCCCTATTATAATCTCCGAACATGACCTGTCACTCTTCGAAAGATTATTTTTGTAGTTTTTGTAGAGAATTGTTGAATGAGTTCTGGTTGTGTTTTCAAGCAAAGTTGTTGCATGAGTTTCACTTAGGAATCTGAGTGGTTAGTTGAAATTTAACTTTTCCTTAGTGTGTTTGAAACTTCAGTCACCAGAATTATGCTTAATATAACCCAAATTGATGTGATTCACTGTCAGGCTATCTAAAACAGTGTATCTTGCTAGCAAGGCATTGTCGTATAACTTACTGTGCTAAAAATGACTATAGTTAAAAGAAGATAGTAAAACCTTAGTTGTATATAGCTGCAAAATGTGCTAAAAACAACTATAAAAGAAGTAGTGAGGCATCCACTGCCCTCTTGGGAGTTCAAGGCAAAAACAGAGTTTGGAGAAGAAATCAAAGGAAGACTTGCTTAACTGCACAAAGGCTGAATTTGCACTATGTTTGCTGGAAACTGACCGCAAGGTTTAAGAGGCAGCTATTTTAAGCATTTTTGGGCTGGCATTTTGGAGAAATAATGTACTTCTGAGTTGTTCTTGGTATTTTTGACATTGCCTTTGCATTTGGGTTTCTTGGCTTCTATAGTCCTGAGAATAAATTGTCTAACTTCTTGAGGAGTTTGAAACGTTCATTTTTGTGCACAGAGTCATGGTTTTCCACTTTTTAGAGGGGCAAACTGAAGGACCTAGCACATAGGGCCATCCCAAGAACTCAATCCAATTTCCTTACCCCCAACTCTGGCCAAAAGATATGGGCACGGCAACAACACAGAAGAAGTCACAAGTAATGAATAATTAAGTTTTAAACAGCGAAACACCCGGGAGGGGGGGAAGGGTGGCAAATTTCATAACGTCAGTGGGGATGTTCTCTTGTTAAAAAGCAGGTAGCGAAAAAGGGGGGCAAAAGAAAAAAGGAGGTCAAAATCTTGAATAAAGGCCCACGTTTCCTGCTTCTTGTACTGCAGGTCTAGGATCAGGAAGAGCCTTTCCAGATCGTCGGAAACGGGCGAGTGCTCCGAACCGAGCAAGCAGCCGCCCTCCCCCTCCCGAGCTTCCCTCGCCTGGGAGGTGGGCGAAACCTTCCGGGGGGGGGAGAGAGAGAGTCCAGCCGAGTCTCGGCCGTGGGGCGGAGCCGCGGCGGGCAGCACAGGAATGGGGCGACCTGGGGCGGGAGGGCTGAAGAGGCAGCCGGTGACAGGCGGAGGGCGACCTAGCGCTTGGAGGGCGGGTGCGCAGGTGGAGCAGCGGATAAGGCAAGGCAGGCAAAAAAAAGAGAGCCTCGCCTCGGAAAGTCCCGCCCAAGCCGGAGAGCCGCCTCGTCGCTTCAGGTACTCGAGGGAGGGAGGAGCTGGCGTGGCTGCCCGCGCTCGGGTTTGGGGGAGACCCGAGCAACGGAGGGAGGTGGAGTTGAGGGTGCCTTCCTCGACCTGAGGAGAAGGGCGGTAGGGAAAGGGCGGCCTCCCTTTGGGAAAGGCTGCGTCCTGGCCGGGGCGGGGATTACTCGCCCGCGCACCTTGTCCACCGCCTGCTCGCTGGGACTTCCCTGCCCTGCCCTCTTCCGGCGTGGTGCGAAGCCCTTGAAATAAGGTACTGTATGCTTCCCCTTCCTCCTTTTGAAGGTGTGGGGGAGAGAAATACTTAGAAGCGTGGACGTTTCTGTACCTTTTGCATTCTCAAAATGGTTAGCTTTGTGGAAAATGGAGCTTGCCTTCTTCCCACCGCGTCGTTCGGCTGCCTTGGTCGCTGCAGGCAAAGGCGCGCCCACCTCTCAGATCTAGACCTGAGGGGGCAACGAAGTTTCCACAGCCCCTTTGTGGTGCTGGATGTGCCCTCCCCGCCTTTTAAATTAGGCTGGTTGGTTTTTATTTTTTTCCTAACACTCTGACGGACGAATCCTGTGCATTTTTTATATGGAAGTAAACCGTACTGTCTCTTTAGATCTTGCTTCTGGAGGCATAGGATTACACAGTGACCTTAGTTTGTTATTATTCTGAGCCTGCAGGAGGTTATAATGGATACAGCTAGCATATCCAGCTATGAAAGCATTCTTTGTGGGCTGTAGAGAAATGTTATTTATATACTCCTGCCAGTGTGGGTGATACTATACACAGTAAGGGGAGCAAAAGACATGTGTTAAGTTTAGCTTCTAAATTGTAGTGGCAGACCGGCGTTGGGCACTGCCAAGGCTATACAACGTGTTTGGCATATGGGTGGACACAAACTCACACATAATCCTCACTTTTCAGCATGAAAGCTATCTGCCAGCTGCTTTTCTTCTTGTGGGTGAATGGTAGAGAAAGAAGGAAATGTGTGGGTGTAGGGGTCTCTGGAGAGAAAAGATTAATGGTTCCTTCCCCTTATTTGTGTGGATTCAGTGGCAGATCCCATTTGGGTCTACTCTTGCATCTTGTTTTAGCTTTTGAGGAAACAAGAGAGGACAGTGGAGAAACAAGGATACATGTGAGTCAGTGTAATTAGAAATGTGGTGGCAGGTTCAGTTCCTAGTAATAACGATCTTTCTCAAAATGTGGTGGTAGAGTGTTTCAACAGCTTGCAGGAAGTGAATCACAATCTGGCCCAGTCTCCAGGTGGCTTCAAGAGTTGTGTCTCAGCTTTGTTTCTGATTCTGCAGGTTATTGTGGCTTTTACCCCTCTCAACTACTCATTACATCACTTAAGTCTTAACGTATTGTTGCTTGCTTCGTCAGGCAACTACTTGCATTCCTTGCGCAATCAGGTGAGTTCTGTAGTAAGACCACACTGTCTTGAGTTTTTGGCTGGAAGCCTATTGGTGCTTTTGTGTAATGTTAGAATAACTTATCATAGATAATTGCAATTCAGTGACAAAGTGCCAGGGTACATGTTGGTTCCATTGTGGAGTATGTGGCCAGGCACATGACTGAGATGCACCCTGGTACCTCATCAGTTAGCCAGTGTAAGTTATGCAAACACCAGTAGGATTGTGGCATTTTGAGGTGAGACTTACTGTGATGTAGTAGTAATTAGAATGTTGGAGTGGGTTTTGAGGAAATCCAGGATTGTCTCCACTGAGCCCTGAAATTGACTGAGTGATATAAGGACATGAAGAGCCCTGCTGGATCAGGCCAAGAGCTCATCTAGTCCAGCTTCCTGTATCTCATGGTGGCCCCACCAGAGGCCTCGGGGAGCACACGAGACAACTAGATACCTGTCTCCTGATACCCCTCCCCTGCATCTGACCTTGAGCTGGTTATTTTCTCAGTCTGATATGCCTCACAAAGTTGTGAGGACAAAGAATGGAGAGAGGAAAGTAATGTATGTCTCCCTGCGCACCTGGAAGGAAAGGCAGGAAATAAATGTAATAATCAATATTAATAACATGATCCAGTCACCTACCAGTGCAAACATTGGGCAGTGGCACTGGGTATAATATCGAGCATGTCAGGTATAGGTGATTGGTTTCCCAGAGTCTAGTGAAATGTCATCACATCTCCAGTTATGAATGCTTCTTATAATCCCTTTCATCACCCCGTTTACTATTCTTTCTCAGGCTCTTGGGTTTTGGATGATAAAAGTATTTCATGCAAGGCCTAGTGTGGTATAGTGGTTAGACTTGGAACACCCAGATTGGAGTGCCCATTAAACCAGGAATATCTCACTGGGGCTGGTTGCCATCTGTCTACCTATCTACCGTATATGATAGTTGTAAGACTATAAAGGGGCCTGGAATCTTTCATGTTACTTTGAGCAGCTTGGAAACACTCTAGTACAAATATCCATCAATTCACCTACCTATCTGTCCATCAAAGTTAGGATAACCAATGGCTCTTGATGAAGCAGAGAAGACACTTCATCCTGCCATTTTGGGGTTCTTTTCCTCCTCTTCGGACTATAGGCTGCTCTTGGTTGAGATTTTGCCCTAGGGAATTGGTCTGCATGGGTACTGGTGTCATGATGTAACCCTCAAACTTTCACTCCCTTTTCTAATGCCAGAAACTCAGTTCTAACCATATATAAAAGTATAGGTGAGCAGGTGAAAAAATGCCATTTCCTCATCACCAGGTGACTGATCTGTGGTTTTGTAGATGCATCTAGGAGGCCTTGCCTGATGTCTATTGGGGATCTAAGAATGTGACTTCTGGGCAGGGTTCCCTACTTGGATAGCTCTTGCATTTCTAGGAACTGTGAAACCTCAGCAGTTGGTTCTGAATGGGAAGTTGCTTTGGAGTGTTTCACAGGAATCTGAGAGGAAAACTGGGTTAAGTCTCAGGGGGCAGCTGATTCAGATCAGTCAATTGCAAGTTGTGTGTCAGGGACGTGATTCAACTCAGTAGACTCAGAGCACTGTCTGAATCGTTCCTGGAGGGACTGAGTTCATAATGTAATTGGGGAAGTGGCTTTTCTTTCTGTGGTGGCTGCCTCGTTGTGTGGTAAAAATTATTCACACTGCTACTGGAAAATGCCCCCTTCCCTGATACAGGGCTGGATGAAATCTTCTGCTTGTGATTTCCTTGGTTGAACTAACTGTATTATAGATTGGCCAACTGACCCAGTTTGGCCTTGTTTAAAATCCAGTGAACATCACACTTGGCCCAATGCCCTTTTCTCTGTGCACCTACTTCTTGCTTTTGCACTAGTTGCTCTCTCTCTCTCTCTCTCTCTCTCCATCTTAGTGCTCCTTCAGTGTATCTGGGAAGTACAACTTTCAAACTCTCCCAGGTTCATGATAATGAACATGTGAAGCCCTTTCAGATCTATAAAATGAAGACATATTTTGAAACATGTGACTTTCTGAACTCAATTTGTTGAAATCTTTAAAATGTTGTGGCACAAATATGCAGGTAGCAAGAGGGAAAAAAAACACCACCGGGGCCTCTGAAGCAGTTTCCACGTGCACTCTATAGGCTGTATCTTATATCACAATACTCCAAAGATACTCTCCAAATGGGATGAAAATCCATCTAGCCATTTAAAACAATAATTGGGGTGCTCCAGAGGACTCCCAGAGTGATTTTCATCTATTTGTTCAGTCTATAAATAGAACATAGTGTACAAGAAAGCTAGATTTGATATACTTCAAGGAGTGGTATTTGTTCAGTCTATAAATAGAACTGTAGTGATGTATGGAAGTGAGAGCTGGACCATAAAGAAAGCAGACCGCCGAAGAATTGATGCCTTTGAATTGTGGTGCTGGAGGAGGCTCTTGAGAATCCCCTGGACTGCAAGGAGAACAAACCTATCAATTCTAAAGGAAATCAACCCTGAGTGCTCACTGGAAGGACAGATCCTGAAGCTGAGGCTCCAGTACTTTGGCCATCTCATGAGAAGAAAAGACTCCTTGGAAAAAACCTTGATGTTAGGAAAGTGTGACGGCAAGAGGAGAAGGGGACGACCGAGGATAAGATGGCTGGACAGTGTCTGCGAAGTAACCAACATGAATTTGACACAACTCCGGGAGGCAGCGGAAGATAGGAGGGCCTGGCGTGCTCTGGTCCATGGGGTCACGAAGAGTCGGACACGACTAAACGACTAAACGAACGATAAATAGAACATAGTGTACGAAAAAGCTAGATTTGATATACTTCAAGGAGTGAAAAGTTGTGGAAGAAATATTAGTAATTTAGATACACAGATAACATCATACTACCAGAAAAATAGTCAAAATGGAGACTTCGGCTAAGAAATAAGAAGTTTGAGACTTGGGAGGATAGCTATGAAGGAACTAAGAAACTTTCCTAAAAGAATGGCTGTATCACTGGAGACCATGGCCAAAATCATCCACACTCTGGTATTTCCAGTTACTAGGTATCAATACTAGGTATCAGGGGCGTAGTGGCACTGCGGGTTAAACCGCAGAAGCCTCTGTGCTGCCAGATCAGAAGACTAGCAGTCGTAAGATCGAATCCACGCGACCGAGTGAGGTCCCAGCTCCTGCCAACCTCGCAGTTCAAAATCATGTAAATGCAAGTACCACCATGGTGATAAGGTTTCGTGTCTAGTCGCGCTGGCCACATGACCACAGAAACAGTCTGCAGACAAATGCTGGCTCTACAGTTTGGAGATGGGGATGAGCACCGCACCCTAGAGTTGGACACGACTCGACTAAATGTCAAGGTGAACCTTTACCTAGGTATCAATATGAAAGCTGGACAGAAAAGAAAACTGACAAGAAAGAAAAAGATTTATTTGAATTGAGATGTTGAAGGGCAGAATTACAGGTACTGTGGATTGCCAGAAAGACTTATAAGTGGGCACTAGATCGAATCAAGCTTGAACTCTCAAAATGAATAAATGGAGACTGTCAGTCATATTTTAGACATATTATGGGAAGAGAAAACTCACTGGAAAAGACAATGTTATAAAAATAGATGGTTGGAAAAGAGGAAAATGGAACAAAGAAGTTTGACTTAAGACAGTTAGGTCTCTAAGTCTGCCTTTAGGACTGTTAATTCAAAAAGTTATTAAATATCAGAAGTGAATTGATGGCACATAATAACAGTAACATGGCAGTAGTGAGATAAAATAGTTTTGGTGAAGCACGGAGAGAGAGAGAGATGGTCCTAATAATATACTACTAACACAGTAAGGTTATGAAAACTGAAAGGTGA